TGACATCTAGCTTGACACTGAATCTTTTGATTATTGTTATGAATTTGTTTCTTTGTTATATGGCACTTCGTACTAAACTGATCTAATTATCTTATCTGATTTTATATGTATTACTAATGCCAATTTTACTCAGAATCCATAAACGATAGGCAAAAAATATTCTAAAATATTGCTTTTTTTTAAAATACAAATTCTGTCGTCACTGGCGTACACACAAAAAAGTTACGGGATAGCCAGTGCCGCACAGGCACTGAAAAAAGAACATCATATATATGTATTCTCACCAAATTCTATATTTATGTTGCACTTATATAACAAAATATGGAGTTTCTAAGAAAAACAGTTTTCAAATTATTTGAAAAAAAAAAACATATTTAGAAGTTTATATCTCGGTAGACGTGTACTTTTGTATACAGGTAAGTTAGGCTAAATCCATCCTTTTTAGGGACACCCTGTATATGAATTTTTAGAATTTTTACATATCTCAATTGCGTGGTTCCACTTATAAGATTACTAAGATAGCAACACATTTTTTTTGTCGAAAGGACTGTTTGTCCAGGGGTTATATTGTCTCCAATGATTGCTTTTAAAATGTAAATCTTTACCTACTATATTTTTGCGGTTTCCAAATAAAACAATAGTAACGTAAGCACCTACGTAGGATATTAGAGTACGTATAAATCTCAGCAATAAAAGCATTGACGTAGGTATGATGCAGAATTTCTCGAGTATTGAAATTAATTTTGAATATTAACAGCCATATCGGTAAACTTAGAAGTGGGAAATGTTCCACTGATTTCGTGGCTTCTTATATCAACATCACAGCATATATCAACCACCAAATTCAGTCGTCTTTCGATCTTTATAAATTAAGTAACAATAGAAATTACACAAACATGTATGAGATTTGAAAACAGAAATAATATAAACAAGAGAGTAACATTGTGCGGTCACAAATATGGTTTTAAATGTTTTCCTGCTTATCTGGATCTCCAATAAACTCGAGGGTTTCGACTCCCAAGTGAAGACATGCGACAACAAACAAGATCTGTTGCATTTTGAATAATTATGCCTATAAACTTGAAGGGATTGTAAAATTTTGGTCCACAAAAATGTATCTACTTGTCCTAAAGGATTTGCTGCGTTTTGTAGGAAAATGAACATTCCAGAATTTTTTCACTAGCACTAGCTTTTTCTCAAAGATACAGAGTACCTATGTGGTACTAATAGTCTTTTCTATTTCAAATGTTACAGGCATCTCTGGCTATTGCTTATACCAACCCCACGAGTAACATGAATCATAATGATTTATCTGTGCAGATGAAACAATGCAGATTTATCTTACCTGTGGATGGAAAATTAATCTAAATTCCCGTGTGATATGTAGCAAACATTAATATTTCCGTAAGACTATAGCAATTTCGGTGGTGAACTATTGACAATGTAATATAATTATTCAACTTATTTTCTTATTCAATTATTTCTGCAGTTTTATTTCTTTACTGTGTAAATTTGCAAATTCTAAGTCGCTAATCCAAATTGTTATGCAAGGACTGACGCTAATGAATTTAATTACTAAGTGATTATATAATAAAATGACGCGATGAAAAGATTTATTTTCTTGACAGCTGTAATCAGAAAATTTAATTCACTTTCGGTTTTCATAAAAACACCCCTTTTCCAACGACGAAATATAATTAATATGATAAGTATCTAATGATGTTAATTATTGGTTATCTATAACCGACGTGTTTAATAAATATAGTGGTTTATATTCATAAAATTCCCGTATAATATTTAGCAAATCATATAAAGAAGCACAATTTATCGAAGCTGAACCTTTCCTTTCTCGACTTATACAGGGTTCTTCACGCAACTGGTTCATTAGAAGGATACAAAGTTACCATGACAGGATTCTGTTGAATTTGAATACCCAAGTTACCGGCCATGAACTTTTCAATGAAAATATTTTCAAAACTGTTGCACTTCCGCTGATACCGGAAGTTGCCAACAACATTGTTATTTTAAATGGAACACCCTGTATATTATTGCATTTTTGGATTCTACGTTAAATTTGAGGGTCGCTTTGTACAAACTTTTGCATATTTAAAATTAACCGTTTTCAAGATAATGCGATTTAAAAAAAAATTGCACGCAGCACTGTTGGCTTCAAAAGTATATGCCTCAAAAACAGTTCACGCGGAAATCCTTATTTTTAGGCAAATGAAAGTAGAAGTCATGGGGTTCCTTACGATGTTTTCAAAATTAGCAAGTTTTATACAGGGCCCTGAAAACTAATTGACAAACCCCAGGAAATTCAAACGTTTTTATTTAAATGGAACGCCCTATATATTTTCGCATTTCTGGATTCACTAGAGAAATCTTACGTCAGTACATATAAGGGTTGCTATAATTATTGCTGATGGTTTCTGATTTATCACCACTTTTCTGTTTAAAATGCAAAAATCATGTTTCGTAAGAAACTCATAGTTACCTATGAAAACAAAACAGCTATGCCTTGTCAAAGCCACTGATGTGAATAATTATTCGAATAGTGATATTTTAAACTTATTCTTTATTCATGGCGAATGTAACAAGGTTTTGAACAGGACATGCCGGACATTTAATGAAAACTATCCATATTTACTAGCGATGACAAAAAAGAAATCTAGGAAGATTGAATCAAACTTTTTGCGTTTTGGGAAAGTTAACATCAAGAAAAATGTTCCGAGTCCTGTAACAGCTGAAGAAAGAAATGAAATTACAGTGTTGGAAAATTTTCATGCTTATCCAAATACTTCGATACCAACAGCTTCGACCGATTTAGGTAGTTCTTCAGTGTTATTTTCATTATTACAATTATTACATCATTAATATAGGCAATTTATTTCTTAGATTTGTCATATTCTTCGATTCAGAGAATCCCAAAAATACACAAAATGCGTCCTTTATCCTTTACCATTGTACAAGCTTCCGCCCGGAAGATGACAGGAGTAGAACGCAATCTTGCGAATTTTTACTCTTAAAAATGCAAGAGGATCCACAGTTCTTCAAAAATCATCGAGACGGATGGGACGAGTCTAAGTTTATCAGAGACGGTGAAATAAATGGAAGGAATATGCACTACCAGGCCGGTAAAAATCCACACGTTATAAAGGATTCTTTTGGTGTCAACATATTTGCAACGATTATGGGTGACTACGAGATTTATAATGAAAACCTAAATAGTTTAAGATATCTGCAACTCATTGTCACAAACTTCTTAGACAATCTCCCGTTGAATGTGCTAGATAGTTGTTGGTATCAAATGATTGGAGCTCCAACACATTCCATCCACGAAGTATAACAAGAAGTAACAGGGATGTTTGGTGACCGTTGGATTGGTCTTAACGGACCTTGGAGTTGACCGCCTAGATCTCCTGATCTGACACCTATCGACTTTTTCCTGTGGAGATATATAAAAAGCCGAATTTACTCCCAACCTATGTACTGTCTTATTTAATAATTTATTTTTCTTGTTGTTAACTTTCCCAAAACGCAAAAAATTTAATTCAATCTTCTTAAATTTCTTTTTTCTCATTGCTGGTAAATGAGGATGTCTGTCATTAAATGTGTGGCATGTACTGTTCAGAACCTTGTTACCTTCGCCATGAATAAAGAATAAGTTTAAAATGTCACTATTCGAATAATTATTCACTTCAGTGAATCTTTTTCTGGTGCTTTGACAGGGCATAGCCTTTTGTTTTCTTAGGTAACTATGAGTTTCATACATGAAACATGATTTTTCGCATTTTAAATCCAGAAATCGAAAATATACAGGGTGTTCCATTTAAATAAAATGACTTACACATGTTGACTTTTCTCGGGTTTGTCTATTAGTTTTCAGGGCCCTGTATAAAACTAAATTTGGAAACATTGTAAGGAACACCATGACTTCTACTTTCAATGACCCAAAAATAAAGATTTCCGCGTGAAATATTTCTGAGGTATATACCTACTTTTGAAGCTAACAGTGTTGAATGCCATTTTTTTTTAATCACATTATCTTGAACACGGCGAATTTTGAATATGGAAAAGATTATACAAACTGACTGTAAAATCTAACGTAGAATCCAAAAATGCAATAATATACAAAGTGTTCCATTTAAAATAACAAAGTTGGTGGCAACTTCCGGTATAGGCGGAAGTGCAACAGTTTTGAAAATATATTCATTGAAAAGTTCATGGCCGGTAACCTGAATATTCAAATTTTCAACAAAATCCTATCATGGTAACTTCGTATCCTTCTAATGAACCTGTTGCGTGAATAACCCTGTATACAAACAAGACGCTACTGATATTTTATACATCCAAATCATCTGTAAATTAATACCGTGAAACTTAAGTGGGATCAGATCAAATAGAAAGTTTTTTCACAAAAAAATAACCTTGATACCTTGTTTAGCGGCTAAATAAAGTTGATAGGTACTAAAAACTAAACAATTTTTTTGTAGAAATCTAACTAGACTTTCTATGTGTATAAAATGCAGAGTATGTATATGTATAACGTAATAATAATTATTTATGATTGTGTAACTATATTTAAAATTAATATTGTGCATAAAAGTACCGTTTTTCTCAAGGAAATGATCTAAGGTCGTCAAGTTACAGAATCTAGGTGTAAACAGATGTTATGCAAATTTCAGATTGATAAGATTGAAATGAGATTCTTATAAGATGTTAGGCATCGTATTACTTTTCATATTCCTGTACAACTAATACGGTGAAATCAAATCCTGGTAGTATTAAATATCACATACTTAACTATTTTTTACTATAGTCACTTGTTTACAGAAAATTCCCAAGAAAGATACATTTTTTATGTCTACTTATTCCGAAAGTGGGTTTCTCAAAAATATCGAAGTTCTATGGAAATATTATTATTACAAAAAAAAATATTATAAATTATTATTCTTAGCGACCTGTACACTGTATTTATTAATAATAATTATCCTTTTTAGTGATACGATGGATGATGATTCTGACGACAAGGATTCGAAACGGTAAGACGGCGAAGATGTTCTTTAATAATGTGAATAAAAGTCATTTATATTTGGTAGGAAATCAAGGAATTTAAGTGAGAAAAAAAGGAGGGATCAATTTAACCTTCTGGTAAACGAATTAAGCTCAATGGTCTCAACGGGTGGTAGGAAAATGGACAAGTCTACTGTTCTCAAATCTACCATTTCTTTTCTGAAAAATCATAACGGTAAGATATTTATAATGTGTTCATGTTAAGAGGAAAATATATATCAGAACCATATAGATTTTTTTGTTCGAAAATTTCAAAAGAACCAGTGGCGGCTCGTGGTATGTTTGGCAAAGGAGGCTTCAAATAAAAAACTTTAAACTTGTATTTCTTTTATTTGAGGGTCGGTCATTGTTAAAGGTTTCGTCAGTGTCTTCTAACAAAATTGCATACATGTTGAAATGTATCTCATTATTACGGAATTCTTTTAATTTTGATAAAAGTGAATTTATTCTCTTTTTAGAAAGTGTTACGTCAGTTAATTTATTCTGCAAAATTTGGAATACAACATCGATTTGTTCAAAAATCATTGCAAAGGTTTTCAAGAAAAAAATCAAGTATTTGTCCAACAACAATTGTTTTAATCCATAAGCGGATTCAAAAAAATCCTCGTGAGGATCTTCATATCGTATCCGATATGAAATCAAAAACCTCAATAAGTTTCTTTCTATAAGTTTTGACCTTAAAAATAGCTCTAGAAGAAAAATTCCAACGAGTGGCAGCATTACTTGGAATCCTGTGTTGCATTGTTTTATTTAATACGTCAGATCTTTTAGTATATTTGGAAAAAAATACGAAAATCCGAAAAGATTTGAAAACAAAATTCTTACTTCTTTATTGCCGTTGGAAGCTTTACTAAAAACTAAATTTAATTTATGTGCGTAACAGTGATTAAAATAAGCTTGAGGAGCGACGTCATTTATTTTTCTTTGAAGTCCATTAACATGACCTGACATAACCGCAGCACCATCATAGGTTTGAGCAATTAATTTATTTTTTAAGTCAAATTTTACAAATTCATTAATTAATAATTTAAACAAACTATCTGCATCTCTCCCACTTGTTATGTAAAAAAATCCAACAACTTCTCTATGCACTACGTATCTAAAAATTACGGATAATTGAGACTTACAGGTAACATCTGTGATTTCATCAACTTGCCAGGAGAAAAATTCGCAATTATTTAATTCGTCATAAATTTTACTTTTGATAATAATTGAACTAATACTCTCAATTAAATCGTTTTGAATGGCTTTAGAGGTTCCCGAAAAAACAGTGGCATTATCTAAGAAATTCTGCAATTTTGAATCGTATGTTTTTAATAAATTTATTAACTCTTTAAAGTTCCCTCGATTAGCAGAATCCACTTTTTCATCATGTTCGCTAAAAGAAATATTACTACATCGTCTATTTAAAATATTTCTATTTTCACGAACCTTCTCATTATAATGTATTTCCGTTTTGTGAACAGGATCTAAAGCGTTTACAATATTCTGTTTACCGAACATTTCAAATTTAATCCGCGATGAGATATGTTCTTGCGATTTTTCGTCTTTCGAGGCCTCTCGTTACATTTTTTAAATTATTAAAACCGACCCTGCCCCCAACCGATAAAATATCATTAGTGAAAAATAAACAACAATATAATTCATTTCTAATAGTTGATGCAGTTAACCAGTCGTTTTCTCTATAATTATTATCGTTAAATCCCCTATTTTGTTTTTCACCCCACTGCAACTAAAGACGGCAAAGAAGGTGTTGGTCTCGATTTCTGTTTAATTATGAGATTTTCATCATAACTGAGAGTACTAAATCCTTTTAATAATAAATAATCTACAATGTCCATGCAACTAAAGGTTCATTTTTTGACGGAGATATGCCCAGGTACCCAAGAACTATAGTCATCGAAAAAACGACAAAGTGCATATGAGGTGGATTTTGGTTTTTGTGCGAATTCGGCAGGAACGCATATCCGGGGGTAGTTTTACGCGTAAAATCCGAAAATCGCAAAATAAATAGGGTACGTCCAAAAAAAAACACCCCTCACCCCCTCTGCACCCCCTAGGGTGGAAGGGGCGAGTTGAAATTACGTGCGCTCTTAGGTCTCTCCAAGTCTCCATCTAGAGTACACTCCTAAAATTTCAGATTTTTATATTCATTTTTGACAGAGATATGCCAGGTACCCAAAAGCTATAGTCCAACCATATTCTTGTACGAAGTTTCATAAAATACGTCAAGAGGTGTTGATTGATTAATAAAATACATTTTTTTAGAGATTGCTGTGCGATCTCGGATAAACGAAATTCAAGAAGACTGGAAACCAACTTTTCTAACAAATGAAGAGTTTACCCACTTAGTTTTAGAAGCCGTCGATGGTTTTATTATGGTATTTTCCTCATCTGGTCATATTTATTACGCTTCAGAAAGTATTGCCTCGCTATTAGGCCACTTACCAGTAAGTATCCAAAGTTATTTTTTGTAGTATGTAGATTGCAAAAATTGCGCTTACACCAGAAGGACCAATTATCTTGGTTGTTTCTGAAAGTAAAAATAAAAAAAATTATCAGTTTACGCTATATAGACCCTCGTTAGTTAGTAAAAGTTTAATACCCGCGATTTTACTAGATATTGAGTGTCGCATTTTAATTGTAATTGTGTAATTCAATCCTGGATGAAACTTTAGTAAGCAGAGTAGTTGTTTCCTTAGTATGGTATACAGATTTTCGCTTTCTTTCTTGCAGAGTGCTGTGCTCAGTATGACAATATACGATTTGGCGAGCGAAGACGAACAAACGAACCTGTACAACCTGTTGCTCAGTCCGTCCGAGGAGGAGAAGCAAATCGTCTTTTCCTGCCACCTGCGTCGTGGAGGTCCCGATGCTAAAAGTCCACCTACATACGAGCTGGTGAACTTTGTGGGATATTTCAGTAAGTTAATTTTTAGAAAATATCTACAGGGTGTAAAAGTGACGTTGCGACAAACTTCCGGGATTGATTCCTAAGGAATCTATGATACTTGAAATATTGGAGTTGAAACAAAATTTATGGCACTCCAGAATAGATAACAATTCAAAAAAAAAATGCAAAAATTGTAAACAGCTTTTTTGCATCGTTTTCCGCCATAAAAAAATTAAAATTAAAATGTATTTCCAAATATGTGTATTTTACTGGAATAAATCTTAGTGAGTATGAAAATAACAAATTGTAACAAAATTTATACATACAGGGTGGGCCATTAGTGTGAGAAAGTAAAATAACTCCCTTGTTACTCATAATACAGAAAAAAAGTTTATATAAAAGTTGTACAGAATCAAGAAACCTAAACTACAAAATTAATTTGAAACATACAGGGCGATGAGTAAAAACGGGACACGCTAAAGATTACATTTTTTAACTGGAACACTATATACTTTTAAATGTATGAATTTCTGAGAAAATTTCACAATAGTATTTTTCAGCCAATTAAAGGCCTGTATTTTGTAGCGTTACTATAGCAACTAAGAAAATTTCCGGAAATTTTTCTCTTCCTTGGGGTAAGGAGCATGAAATTAGACTGGAAATTTTTTGACATTTACTTATAAATAAAATGACATTTATATTTAACTTCAAATTTATTCTATCATAATTTAATAAGTACAAATCATTTATAAATAATTATTTACCAAGTATGTACTTTTAGTAGTTTTAATTAAAGCGTCCAAATGTTGCTGAAATTCCTCAGCCACGTCTTCTTTTCTTAATGGGGAATAAACAAGCACACATTCACTAAAATTTATAAAATGTCTATGTTTCAAAAAATAAATGTAGTACTTTGAAACAATCTTATTCTGCTGTGATCCACGAAGAGCTCCATATTTCTTACACACAAGAAGCAAATGATTTTTAATAATCCCAAACAAGTTTGGCGAATAAATTTCTGGCCCGCATTCTTGTAATAAATACATTAAAAATTTTAGGTTCCGATGATACATTTTAATTTCACTAACTTTTTTGCAAAACTTGCATAAAACGTATTTCTCAAACCGCTCCATTTTTCAATTGTACAACACAACGATTTTAAAGAAAATGGTCAAATAACGTCAAAAGTCACGATTACCTTGTTTGACATGGATTCCATGGCCTTCTTAATAATATATACATATGAATTTTATTGATATTACATAGTGCTTAAGGTTCTTTGTAAGAAAATATATTTCTACCAACTTTAGTAAAATGAGTATGTGGAAAACTGAGGGATTGATCTACTATCGACTTATTTTTTATTATTTTGCTTAACTAAAGTCGGTTAGTTGTATTTTATTTAACCTAATGTTATATGTATGTAAGTTACTTTGATTATATATACTGCTTCAAGTTTTTTTGCAATAAAATATATTTTTACCAACTTTAGTACACTAAATTTTTAGAAAACTGAAAGATTGAACTACTATCAACTTATTTTTTATTATTTTGTGTAACTAAAGTTCACCACTTATACTTTATTTAACTTAATAAAATATGCATGTGAGTTTCATTGATACAACATAGTGCTTCAATTTCTTTGTAAGAAAATATTATTTCAACCTACTTTAGTAAAATGAATTTTTAGAAAACTGAGAATCTGAACTACTATCGATTTGTCTTTTATTATTCTGTGTAACTAAAGTTCGTTACTTACATATATTTAATTTAACTTAATAATATAAGCATATGAATTGTATTATCATTACATAGTACTTGAGGTTCTTTGTAAGAAAATATATTTTTACCAACTTTAGTACACTAAATTTGTAGAAAACTGAAAGATTGAACTACGATCAACTTATCTTTTATTATTTTGTATAACTAAAGTTCGCTACTTATATTTTATTAAATTTAACCTAATAATATATGCATGTGAATTTCATTGATACTACATACTGCTTAAGGTTTTTTGTAAGAAAATATTTTTCTACCAACTTTAGTAAAATGAGTTTCTAGGAAACTGAGAGGCAAAGCTACCACCGACTTATATTTTATTATTTTGTTTAATTAAAGTCGTGTAATTGCATTTTATTAAACCTAATATAATGTATGTGAATTTCATCGATACTAGGTTCGAGTTTCTTGTAAGAAAATATGTTTCTACCAACTTTAGTAAAATTAATTTGTAGAAAACGGAAAGATTGAGCTATTATTGACTTATTGTTTGTTATTTTGTGTAACTAAAGTCGTTTAATTGTATTTTGTTTCGAGTTCCTTGTAAGAAATTATATTTCCACCAACGTTAGTGGAATGAAGTTGATCAAGAATAATTGATCATATATTATAATAAGATTTGAACTACCACCAACTGCCTTATACTTATTTTGCACAACCAAATTTGGTAGTTTGTGTATTATTTAACATAATCTTAACTGATGTTAGAATAGAAATTTAGAACAAATTTAGAAATATGACCGTCGAGATTGATATCTAAATACCTTATTTTCATAAATGTAAAGAAAATAATTGTATCACCTGTTTAAAATAGGTATATTACGCACTAAAGAACAATATTAATTATTATTACTGTTATTTTGATCAGTACTACTATAATTATTATTTGTAACATTAAATGTACAGTTATTATAAGTTATAACTGATGATTGATTTGCATCTGATTGCATCATTTTTGATACTGAAACATTGGTACAGCTGCCTTTTGAATTACACCGCATAGCTTCAACAATTTCTTTATGATGTCCTTCATCAATCTGTAAATAAGGTTTTATCGATTGACTGCTACTGTGGCCTGTAATTTTGATCAACTGCTGTTCCCCAATTCCTTTTTTCGCCAAATTGGATACTGCAGTTGCTCTCGCTGAATGATTCGTAATTTTCACTTTTTTTGTGTCAACACCAATTTTCTGTGCAGCCGATTTAAACCATGTGAAAATCGTGTTCTTCCCCACTGGACAATTCTTGTACCATCCCTTTGAATTCCTTTGATCCCAAAACGGATTAGGAGTTAAAAACAAACGATTGGTCTCTATAGAGTTACCTCGTTTTTCCATCATCTTCCTAAAAAGACGAACAGGACATATGGTTGGATTATTTATGTTTGTGATTAGCCACTTGCTATCAGCTAACTTTCTTGAACCGCCTTGTGTTGTCTTCGAAAAAATGGGATTATACTCTATGCGACCAGTAAATTTGCCGAAATTATCAGTTTCTTCAACAAAGTATTCAATATTTGCTACTGCACCTTCTCCGCCCCTCCAGGCTAACTCATGGGAAGCAATATGAAAAAACTTTCGCTGAAGACCTTCTGGACAATCTTCATCCCAGAGTTCTACAATCTTCATATATTCAGCATCACTTAAGGCCAAGGCACTAAGCTTTCGTTTTGTTGGATCTTTTTGTAGTTTTCTACGTTTAGCATCACGTGCTGCTCTTGCATTTTTAAAGGTTATGTCAGAAAATGGATCAAATTTAACTTTAAATTCTTCGTAATACATCTCCTGTAGTTGTTTGGCAGTTGAATTCCACATTACTTTTACAACACTTTCTTTGTACTCCTCTGAATTTTTTTTTCTCATATTAAATGAATAATCTTCTAGAATACTTGCCAGTTCTTCAACAGGTAGCTTTTCCTGTATATTATAAGATTTTTCATTGCAAAATTCTAGAAACTGCTTCCAAATGCTTATCTTTGATTTTTTGGTATTATCTGGCATCAGATGTTGAATTTCTTTTTTTATTATGTCCTGGTTTTCTTCTCCAAAACGAGACATTTTTCGTAAAAAAACACTAAACTTTTCACTTTGACACCGTGCATATAAAATGACATTTGTTATCCTTTTTGAATTAACATACAAAGCCTACTGTCTCTTCAAAACAATCAAAAAATTTTAATATCTTTATATTTTTGTCGATATTTTTTAACACTTCATTGTGAAATTTTCTTACCGAATACCACTCTAGCTTCAATTAAAAACTGGAAATTTTTTCTTGCACACGAATATTTTTTAGAAAATTCGTGTGCTCGAAAAAATTTCCAGTAATAATTGAAGCTCTAGTGGTATTATAAGTGAAAATTTTATATATGGCAATATAAACAGTTTAACATTTTAGTGCGGGGTTGCCAAGTTATGTAGAAAGTTCTTCGAATTTTGGAAAAAACATTACCTCCGCACAGAAAAACACACTATTCCTAGTCACTGCAGAAAACAGACTGACCCCAGACCATATACAAAAGACTGTCGAAACAAAAAATAAGACAAAATCACATGTGCAACAGGCAACCGTTACGGCCAAAAGGGTAACCCTGTCTCAACATGTGGCAGAAAGTACTGCTGCATCCCTTTGATCCCTAAAAACCGACAACTGATGGTTCGTCCCGGATTTGTTATACGTACCATGCAACAATTTTCCGTCTCCACTAGCTGTAACGTAACATTCCTACAAAAGGCTGGAATTATGGACAGACAACTCTTGGCTTTTGCATCATGATAATGCATCGACTCACACAGCATTTATAATTCGAGACAAAAATTCAACTCATATCGTTCCACAACCACCGTATTCGCCTGATTTAGCACCGAGTAAGTTCTGGCTATTCCCTAAACTCCGTAGATACCGTTTCGACTCGATCAAAGAAATCGACGAAAGCATTGAAGGCCATATCGGAAAAGGACTTTTCAGACTGTTTCGAGAGTATTCATATTTATTTCACACTTAATTTTCTGAATTTAATTTAAAGCAGCTTTTATTTGCCATGTTTCAGTTTTTCTCTAGATAGAATCAATCAAACAAAAGGCGCACTTATCGTTGTTGCCAAGTTATTAAAATTGCAGCAATAATATCAGCAATAAAAAAATGCTTATCCAATTCTGTATAAGAAAATTATATTCAACAAGTTTTATTTTTAATTAAATGTTACGTGTTGATAACTAAGTTTGTGTCTATGTTGGTCGGAAACTGATTCACTGTTCCAGTTTTTAAAGGACTATATTGTTGTTCTTGATTTTTGTGCCTTGACGAAAAGAATTGATCCTGAAAGTTTGTCATGACGACACTGTTTTGCTCTGTATACTTCAAATACTATTAATAAGTACCTACGACTACGTAAGGAAGATCTAAGCATCATTCAACAGTGTATGACGGTTTAAAATAAATTACTTTGGGTGCAGACAAACAAAGAGATCAACATTATTTTTGTTTCTCTATGGTCTTCTAATAATTTTATCACCTGAAATGATGCTTATTTATACAGAATATGTTTGTTGTCTATATTAAATAAGACCAATGCCACTTTGAAAAGTACTAATTTAATTTGAAATATTATATTTGAAGATGTTTTATGAAATTTGGCAAAAGATTTCAACATTATTTGTCAAATGGAAGAATAATTTCTTACATTTACTGATAAAACCTCAACTTGATCTATTAATAAATACAAACTGCAATATAATCGAAAAGATATTTATTCTTGAAAGCATTTAAACGATTCACGTGAATGTAACTACCTGTGTTTATGATATAATGCGTTGGTCTTACGATTCCGAAGGACGATAAAAATGCATTCGCAAGGTTTTGTAATCGGTAAGTATTATGTTAGATGTATGCAAATATTGCATTTCTTGAATATGAAATGGATACTATTATCATAATAATTACATAAATATGTAATTTTTTGTGTTTAAAGAATATTTTTCAAATATAAAAAATGTTTAACAATTTTTAATCTTAAACACTGTAAGAACTGTTTATAATAATAATAATTTAATAATTATTTCTAGTATATAGGGTGTTAAAACTTTGGCAACCTAGCAAAGGCAGTAGGGCCAACACAACTAAAATATTTAGAACTTGATGGCACCTCCGGTTATACTGGAGGCCGACGTCGACTTTCTTATTTTAAATGGAACACCCTTATCGCATTTTCGGATTCTACGTGAAATTTGGGGGTCACTTTATTGAATATTTCCTCTTCCTAGGAGTTATAGATTTTGAGAATTTATAAAGAAAAAATTTGACAGGTGCAAGGGTCCGCGAAGATGCTAGTAACTCTTTTCAGGAGTGTATTTTTGGTACCTGTAAAGGGCATAGTTAACACTAAATTATAGTATACCAACAAATTAAAACATTTGATATTAGGTAGTTCATTTTTGCTGTTACATTTTCATGTTACATTTCAAACAGCTATCTATAACTATTTTAAAATATCCGAAAATGCAATAATATGTAGGGTGTCCTATTTAAAATAAGAAAGTTATTGTCGACTTACGGTATAATCGGAAGTGCCATAAACTTCTAAATATTTTAGCTGTGTTGGCCCTACTGCCTTTGTTGGATTGCCAAATTTCCAGATTTATCGGATCAGTACATTCCGAGATATCGATAGTGGTGATTCCTGGTGGAACACCCTGTATTGTTATGTTATTTTGTTTAGCAAAGATCAAATAAAAATATTTTTCGAGAGTTATCAAAAATAGTTTATCAATATTGCTCTCATTTGGAAATTCTTATGACACTGTTACTGAATTCTGTATATTTTTTCCAAACTCTCACCGATGGTTATCAGGAACAATTTTTTATCCGCCTCAATTTTTTGAATTTTTTATCTGACAATATCTCAAGTACCATATATGAATTTTAAAAACATTTTTTCTTTTTCAGGAAGTGATGAGGACATGGTTCAGAGTGATAATAGATATAGTGGTTACTCAGGAGAAGCAGATACAAGGTAATCTTATATTTAATTTTTTCTAAACAAAAAGTAAATTAAACGGAATGAGAAAATTCTAAAATGATTAATGAATTAACCCGAATAGCTCTATAAATAGTTTTTATTGAAAAATGTCTTTATTTGAATTAATAGATGGGTTAAATTAATTTAATACAAACGCAAGTCAATAATGCTCACGTATATCAAAAATTTATCGTTTGAATGAATATTCAAACGAGAATTCGTTTAAGATTTTATCTCTTACAAGTTTTAAGGTTTTACCAAATACGAATAATTCTGAACATGATATAAAATTGCCCAAATAACACAGTGGCGTAAATAAGACATACAGAGTGTTAATAAATGATTACAAGCCACATGACTAGTAATTTTGTTTGGAACAGTAATTTTATTTCCTTCATGTTGGCAATTAAATTTCGGAAAAACAATAAGAACAAGGTTACGTTATAACACACCGTTCTGTTTCACTGGCTGGCGATTGGTGTAATATTTCACGAAATTCTATTCAACCAGTCAGCAATCGCGTTATCTCGAGCGTAGAGTAACGGTTTGTTATTGTTCATTATAAACAAATCATTAATATTTTCTCCTTACCAGTACCAGCCCAGCAATGTTGGTTGCCTAAGTTCGACGATCACGTGGCTTGTCAATATTTATGAAGGCTCTGTATATACGAGTACCTTTATTTTAAAATATTTGATCGACATTAAAATGTCCGCAGAAAAATATATATTATATGTCACTTGTCTTTTCATAATAAATGGAGTAGATAAATTGTACGAACATTTGCATAAATTATACAGGGTAGCCCATCGAAAACGTACCGCAAGGCATTACAGTGTAGTAATGAACTTTTCGGCAAAATCCAAAAACAGGTAAAGTTTGCTTCTGAGGGGGACAACTTTTGGCACAAAAAGCATAGCAAAATCTTCAACCCCCTAAGTGGGGGTGCCATCCCCCAATTTTTTTTAAATGGGAATGGGGGTCAAGTGGGGGATCATTAGAAAGGGCTTTTAATTCTCTATACATCGATTCTTACTTTTTGAAAATCGATCCATTATTTTAGAAAATATGCAGCTTTGAAAATACGAACAATATTTTTGACGAGAAATGCGAAAATCGATTTAATTTTACTTCAAAACATACGGTATTAGCTTGGTAAATTCCTTCAAAATAATTCGCTGTTTTTTTTTCTGATTTGCGAATTCTTTAGCCCTGATTTTGGTGAGCAAAAAATTGTCCGCTTTTTGTTTCGTATTCAGATAGGCAACAAGAAGTTGCTAGATAACTGTCTTGTGACTTGTAGTTGAAGAGTACCAATACTGCCGAGTCTTTTAAATTGATTAATTATGGTGTACTCAATTCCAGAAAGAGTAGAAATTATTGAGCTTTTTTTCAAAAAGAATGAATGCGGAAATCGGGTCGCCGAACTGTTCAACCAACGGCATCCTGAGAAACATGCGTCTGGAAAAATTGTTCGCGAATTGGTGGCCAAATTTCGCGAAATTGGCTCCGTTCATAATAAAAAGGGGCAGGTTGAAAATCCGGTACTAAATGAACCTACGGAAATAGCGATATTGGGGCAAGTGGCAATGGATAGTACGCTGAGTATAATGCAATTGGCTACTGCGACAGGAGTGAGTCGTACAAGTGTCCAACGAATATTAAAAAAATACAAATTCCATCCTTATAAGATTCGGCTATTGCAAGAGCTAAATGAAGACGATTTTGATCGTCGTTTACAATTTTGCGAAATAATGACTGAACGAGCGATAAACGATAATTTCCTCTTTAATGTGTGTTTTTCGGACGAGTGTACGTTCTTCTTGAATGGTTTAGTGAATCGCCATAATTGTCGTTACTGGGCTGATACCAATCCAAGGATTTTCCATGAGACACACTCCCAACACCCCCAGAAGTTGAATGTATGGCCAGGTATTTTTGGAAATTCCATTGTAGGTCCTTTTTTCCTTCCTGGAAATTTGACAGGCGATATGTACTTGGATTTACTACAAAATATCATCGACCCAGCTCTAACAAATATCATAGAGGACGACCCTGCTTACAATGAACACGAACTGATTTTCCAGCAAGACGGAGCTCCTGCACATTACTCGCTCAATGTGCGCAATTACCTAAATGAGACGTTTCCAGGACGCTGGATAGGACGAAGAGGTGCAATTGAGTTGCCCCCTCGTTTACCCGACTTAAATCCTTTAGATTTCTTTCTCTGGGGGCACATTAAAAGCAAAGTTTACAGCACTCCACCTGATACCTTGGAAGATCTGCGAGGACGAACCATTAATGTATGTCGCGAAGTAACACCGCAAGTGCTCCAGAATGTTCGACAACGGTTTGAAGACAACCTGTATTATTGTATGCAAGTTGGCGGACAACATTTTCAGCATTTACTTGACTAATACCGTAAGTTTTGAAGTAAAATTAAATCGATTTTCGCATTTCTCATCAAAAATATTGTTCGTATTTTCAAAGCTGCGTATTTTCTAAAATAATGAATCGATTTTCAAAAAGTAAGAATCTATGTATAGAGAATTAAAAGCCCTTTCTAATAACCCCCCACTTGACCCCCATTCCCATTTGAAAAAAATTAGGGGATAGCACCCCCACTTAGGGGGTTGAAGATTTTGGTATGCTTTTTGAGCCAAAAGTTGTCCCCCTCAGAAACAAATTTGACCTGTTTTTGGATTTTTCCGAAAAGTTCTTTACTACCCTGTAATGCCTTGCGGTACGTTTTCGATGGGCTACCCTGTATATAAAGTTTAATTTTAAAAAGAATGTAGGTATTAAAATATTACCTAAAGTTATTATGTAGATCTATTACATACTTTAAAGGCACCTGAGTCCTGGGACATTATTTTTTATACTCATAATTGCATTGGGGCAATACTTCAGTCCAATTAGATCATAAAACCTGAAAATTTGAAAAAATTATTAGTAGACATTTTATTGCACTTTATGACGGGGAAGGGTATGTAGAATGATAATATGAAAAAATTAACTCGAAAGAAGTGACGCTAAGTTGGCAAATTGCAAATAAGAGGCAAAGGGCTACCACACATAAACACGTTACGACGTCGTGACATGGCACGTTGCGACATTGTGTAACGATGCGACGTCGTGTCGTGGAAATTTTCGCCGCGTATCGTAAAAATTCACGTCACGACATCGCAACGTGCCAAAATGCACGGCACCACGTCGTCCACAAGATGCCGCGTGAATTTCCGCAGTTAATCTCGGAAAATGGACCGCACTAGACGTGTTCTCCTCCTGCTGTTATTAAGATGGATAAAGAAGAAACAAAAATACAGTAGATACTGAATTCTTCCATTTCTTTCAATATGAATAACGTGCCGTGCATCGTGGCACGTTGGGATGTCGTGAAGTGAACTTTTACGACACGCGACGTAGATTTCCACAACACGACATCACATCGTTACACATGCCACGTCACGACGTCGTAACGTGTTTATGTGTGGTAGCCGAAAATTACGTGTTTTTTCACTTTTTTTACTGCCCACGAAAATCTAGACGACATGTCAGAAATAAATTGTTTTATGTTGTAGACAATTAAATTACCTGGAATTTAAGGCACCTAGGTATTTTTTCACTAATTTGTTAACTTTAAAATAAAGGTAGAATGCGGAAATATTAGTTTTCGAAAATTGCGAATTATTACTGCAAAAATCGATGGATGTTGATGAAATTTATGGAAAAGATGGTCAATCCAAGTACCAATATGTGTGGCCAAAAGCCGATTCAATTGACTGAAATTGTTGCTCCATTTATTTGTTAATTAATTTCGTTTGTTTTTTGCAAGTAATTGTTTAATTACTAAACGTTAATTTTAGAAGTTAGTATCGTAGATATAGGTTCTAATTGATCCAAAGAAAGGTATCGAAAAAGAAAAATTTCAAAAAGTTATAATTAACTATAGTACGATCGTATACGATGCAAAGTAATAAATCATTGCCTGTCAAGGGAATCAGTGCAACACATTTTATAGGGGGTTTTGGAAATTGAATAATTTCTTTATGCATTATGGATTAACAGTTATATATTTATGAAGGACAAAATGAAAAACAAAGGCATCTCCTTCGCACATTGGGCGGCAGGACAACAATACATTTATTACTCCCTTCGTTCTCCCTCATATGACTTGTGTCTTGTGTTTTTTGCGGCGGCGCGCGTGCCGGCCTGGCGTGGTCAGTTTCGTTTCGGTTGTATTGGTGCTGCGTGTTTCTCGCTCGCGATATTTGTGAGGTTATAACTGTTATAAGTGCAATTATATTTCTTTCGGGCTATATGTGTGTTTCGCGCTATTATTTGAGAGTTTGTGAGTGAAATCATATTTCTTGTGCTCCGTAGCAAAAGTGTTTTTAGTGTTTTATTTGTGTGCTGTTTGTGTGTTTCGGGCTGTTGTTTGTGAATCGTGAATGCTATTATATTTTCTGTGCTAGTGAAGTGAAGTTTTTTGTATTATTATTGCTCTGTTGTCGTTATATGGAGAAATGGAGGCGGTGCCTGGATGTTCGCGAGCCGGATGTACTGCTGTGGCTACAAAAAAATCTATATTAAGTTACAGAGAAAAAACGATAATATTAAATGTCTATAACCCTTTAGAAAAGGATCATCCCATGAAACTGAAGACTGGTTTGGTGGAAATGTGTTCTAGATATACTGGAGTAAGCGAATTATCTGTTTTCAAAATTTTAAGAGAGAAGAAAATTGAAGGAGACGTTAAGAAACCTAAAAAAGAGGGTGGAAAGAAGAAATTAACATTAAATGAAGATGAGAAAAATGCAGTTTGGCGTACAGTACATAAATCATAGAATTTATATTTTGTTTATAATTTGTTAACATTTCTTGTTTGATAGAAAAATAATTTATTTTGTTGAGATTGGTAGAGAATTGTTGTTAGTGTTTTCATTTGATAGAATCATATAATAGGATTTATATTTTGTTTTCATTCTGTAAATATTTATAGTATATCTGTTATACAAGGTTTTTGCTTTGAAACTTCGTTCTCCTTATAAAAAAAAGAATCGTAATGGGGTGCGATGAAGAGATCAGTTCACGTCTGGAACCCTGTTCCTACAAAAATCCCTTTATTCTCATAAACTATTTGTTTTAAATGTAATTTATTATAAATCCAATTCGTTATTTAAATTCCACATATGTGCTACATTTCACCTCTGTACGCGCCACTGTTTATTGTTCCCTGCTCTACGATCAAGCTCGCCAGGTTAGTATTTGACGTATAACCGACCACTTCGTACACTCGATGCACCTGGCCGACTACAGCTAGTACCAGAACACAGTGCGTATGCGGCGGTATTTCAGATTTTACATTCAATTTCATTTTAAATTTGAAACGGTTCATCTTACGCCTAATAAAAATGATGACACGATTTTCCTTTGATAAAAGACCGACAATTTTTTGCTCTACTTTGCATCGTTTACGATCGTACTATACTAACAAAGTAGGATGTGCAAAACAGCGTTATAAACAAATTGTCCCAGGTCAGACAAAAGCCGCTAGGAAATTCGCTGTTTTTGCTTTAAATAGAGCTTATTTTTACTGTAATTAAAAAAAAAGAAATAGCCTACCCCTCTGTTTTCAAGATAGATTTTATAACGCTAATTGTTAATTAACTTTTGGACGTATAGGACCGGGATTTTAGAGACAATTAAAGAAATGGCTAAACTTTTATTTTCAGAAAATTTTACATTGATAGTTCATGTAATAAACGCGACAGCAGCAGTAAAAGTTAACGTTAATGAACGACCTGTACGCGGGAGAAGGAGCGTCGAGCCCGTGCGTGCGTGTGAACGCTGATCTCGGTCGCGAACGAGTTTTTCGTCTAGAACGTTTCAAATTCGGTGAAAAAAATCTCGCGCGGCATCGAGGGCGGCGTTCACGGGTGTGCGCGAGCCCGGCGCTCCGCGTACAAGCCGTTGATTTTGATTTTTTGAAAATTTTCTGTTTCGATACGATTCTTTGGATCAATTAGAACCTATATCTACGATATTAATTTCCAAAATTAACGTTTAGAGTAATTATACAATAGGTCTCTTGCAAAAAAAATATTTTAATAGTTTTTGTATCTACACTGAATACTACAATGTGTAAAGTTTTTGTTATATTAATTTATTTTTAAAAAGTTACTAGATATTAAAGTTTTAATCGGTTCGCTTTGCGCGCAAACGCCATGGACTGGGATGTCGACACGTTGACGGTAAGTAAATGGCAAGCGCGACAATCGCGACATATACAATAACGCGTTTCGACAGTGCAGCTGACTGCTTTGGTTATTAAATGTGTGGAGTGGTGTCAATAAGCAGTACTATACCTTATATATACTGTAAATTTGTGAAGTTAAACTTATAATAACTATGGCAAATCCCTCTAAACCATATAAATAGTCCAGACAGTATTTACTTCAAAAAGTCCATATTTGGGTAAATCGTATATCCACGGAGATTTTTGGCTTTTTGGCTTTCAGAAATGACTGACTAGAAATGAAAATTTTTCTATGCGCATAAAAAAAAACGTGGGCTTAACTTTTGGCGACACAATATGTTACAAAAATTCAAAAAATGTCATATTTTTCTTCCTATTTAATTATGTATCTTTTCAACACTTCATTTTAGGCGATAATGTTTGTAATTAAATTTTTTACAGAATATGTGTTACAAATCGAATGAATCATAATTATTATTGAAAAAATCGAAAAAATCGCCAAATATGGGGTTAAAAACATTACTTTTTAGGAAATCTTGTTGAGGTCTTTAAATTGGGGTGGGACTTTCATACTTGGCTCAAGAAAACTTCACATTATGTAGAATCATCACACCAAATTTCGTAAAAATCGGTTAGATAGATTTTGTATAATAATTTTGCATCTAGATTTTGAAAAATTCAAAATTTTGCACAGCACAAACCAAGGCCTTTAGATACTTGAAAATGTAATCACTTATAAAAGGGCTCTCAAGCTTTCAAACGCTTTTTGAAAAATTCAAATCCGTCAATTAGGAGAGCATAGAAAAATTTTCTTTTCTAGTGATATTTGAAAGCCAAAAAACCAAAAATCTTCTTGGATATACGATTCACCCAAGCCAAAACAGATACAGCCTAGTCTAATACTATTACTGGTGCATTGTAGAGGTGTTTCAAAATCTTATGAGCTTTGACCTTCATATGCGCAGAAACATAATTCCGACCATCCGTCGCCTAAATTATTCTACGTCCTAAAAACATTACACCTACTATTCACAGTCTCTCGCGAGCTCTCATAGCGTAAACAAGCCTCTGATTCGATTACAAATATCATAATAAAATGTCCTATTCTTTATTATTTTAATTTAAACAATAAAATATATATAACGAACATTCGCCAGTTGACTTTATTGATGCCCGAGCGCCTTAGTTTATTTCTACTTATAATGATGCACACTGTCTAGTTCTGAGTCAATGTTTTCCACAACGTGCTTATTAGAAGAATTATGCGGATACGCCACGCCTTTCGCGCATTTCGCGGCTCATAAGATATTGAAACACCTCTACCGATGTGTGAAAATTCTCCAACTAATTATGATTATTTAAAATAACAAATTTAGATTCAAAATATTATTTAGGTAGTAAATAATATTATGCTACCCGAGGAAAGCTCACTTGAACTAAACGTCGTAAAAATGTAATATTATACCAACACAGACTTAATTATTTTGGTACATAAGTGCATATTTAGGTATATCTACATAATAGAATGGAAACCAGTTAATAAATATAACAGCACATCAGTATCGTTATCGTATCGTATGTAAATTAAAAATAATAAATATATTTAAGAAGTAATAGGGCCGACATCGTTTTCTAATGTGAATCGGCCAGTTTACTTACCGATGACGTCGCACCAATAGCAACTCGTTCTACGACACGCCCCTACAGGATGCTCGTCTCCAAATTTCAACGTACGATTTAGTCAATTTTCGAGTAGAATTTTTCACAAAAGATTTTATAATTAATAATTTAAATATGTGAACTAATATAAAAAATCCGGCATGTGCAAGAGGCCTATTAGTTATAAAAAAAAATGAAATTAATTGACAAAGAGCTGGAGCCACAATTTCACGGTCAATTGAATCGACGTTTGGCATACATGTTGGTCATTGGATTGACCATATTTTCCATAAATTTCATCAACCGCATTTTGCAAAAATAATGCGCAATTTTCGAAAACTTATACTTCTGCGTTCGACTTTTATTTTACAGTTAAAAAATTAGTGAAAAATGACTAGGTACCTTAAATTGAAGGCAATTTGTCACTTATTTACAATTTCCCAACTTAGCGTCACTTCTTTCGAGTTACTTTTTTGATATTATCATTCTACATGCCCTTCCCCGTCATAAAGAGCTAAGTCTGCTAATAATTTATTTTTCACGTTCACTCTAACTAACAAACATATACATAATTTATACAGGGTATATCACAATAACGTGTCAAAAATAAAGGAATAAAGTATTTGTCTAAATTTAAGAATACTTTTGAAAGATGTCAAAAAAATGTTTTACAATTTATAAAAGTTGATATGTTTGGAATTATTTAAATGATTTTGAGCTGTTTTTTTTCAGCTGTTTTCAGTTTTTTTTTTACTTTAACGTCATTGTATTCAGAATATAAAATTTGACTTCAATGTTTTTGTTTTAACTTACATCTTAGGATAATAATACTAAACGTTTATTTAAGGAGGTTCGATACCAAAAGAAAAATGGTAAGAATGTTTTCAAAGCAATTGAAATCTGTTAATAAATATGCAAACTGACTTGTGTAAAAATATCAGATCGATTGACAACGTAGTTTTTTTGAAAAATGATTTTAAAAATTATGCTCTTTTACACAGGCTCTTATGGGAGTTGGGAAAAAACTTTAATCAAACGTGAATATTGCTCTTAAAAATGGTTAGGATCGGAAAAATAAAATTGTAATTAAAGAATTAAATATTACTAAACATTTTAAAACAATAAAAATATGCACTTACAATGTAATTATTGAGATAATGGAATGAATAGATAACGTTTTGACAAATTTGAACAAACATCTGATCCAATCAAAGGAAATATGGCAACACTGTACGCTGTATTTAATGCTTCGACTGATGCGTTATATGTATTTGAATAGCTCGATTATAGATTATAAAATTATTCCAGTCGAAAATATATGTGGTAATAATTAATATTAAATAAATTTTTCGTGATCTACAGCAATATACTAGCAATTTGAAACAAAAATTGAAAGGATCTCTTTGCAAAACGAACAGTATAGATGTTAAGTCATAATCTTCAATTTGACAAGTCGACGTCTCACTATCATACACTAAACTTCTTGATAGTTATCATATGGATTCTCGGTTTGCACATTTTATTTTATTCTCATCAATCCATATTCTCTTTTACATTCATTTTATATTACTTTTTGGTCATTACTTTTCCTTTGTACCTTGGTTGTTCATTCATATTTACGGAATTCGCGCAAAGTTGACAGTAATGACAGTTGACCCAACTTTTACCACCACGCCATGGCAATGTTGCCAGATTTCATCCATAATTTTACAAGCTCGTAATGAATAAATAGACGCTTTTATTCAAATAAAAAGTGAACTGACGTGTATTAAACACGAAAAAAATATGCAAGCTAATATGTGTTGTATAAATTTCATTCTAAATAGCATACTTAGTTCGCTGAAATTAATTTATATACAGTTGGTACTGCAACAAGACTCCCGTGTATAAACATAGGCATACTCTCCGCACCGCCCGCCCCGGAAGAGGTGTATCGAACGTCCTTAAACTGATTCCTTCATTTTTGACCCGCTATTGAATTGCACCCAACAAGGAATATGTTACCTGATATAAATGAAGATTTTTATACATCACTGAACACCACTGACTTTTCAGGCTGGTTTTCGTCGGCACCGGAAAGGTCGTTACCCCCCAACTCATAAAGGAGATGCCCCTGGTCGACTCCATCAAGAGCGAATTCACTTCCAGGCACAGCCTGGAGTGGAAGTTTCTGTTTCTTGACCACAGGGCGCCCCCTATTATAGGTTACCTACCCTTCGAGTTGCTGGGGACCTCCGGCTACGACTACTACCACGTGGACGACCTGAGCAAAGTTGTGAGCTGTCACGAGGCGCTCATGCAGAAAGGCGAAGGAACTTCGTGCTATTACAGGTTTCTCACGAAAGGCCAGCAGTGGATATGGCTTCAAACTAGGTTTTACATCACTTACCATCAGTGGAACTCGAAGCCGGAGTTCATAGTTTGCACGCATAGAGTGGTTAGGTAAGGAACAGTTTTCAAACAATCTAGTGTTGCAGTTAGTCAAAGTGAAATGTTTGTTCTCATTATTGCAATTTCTTATTATCTATACTCATATTATATGCTCATGTTTTATAATTGAATTAACAGGTATAGTATTTCTAAAACTATGTCATATAAGAAGCAGGACGAAGTTACAAATTATAAACTAATATACATATCGGGTGTTCTCAAAGTTGAGTCGTTTATTTTAACAGCTGGTAGAACTCGTAAAAATGTCGATTTATCAAAAATCGTTTATATGTAATAGTATAATATATAATTATTAACAAAATTATTATTTAAAAAAATTAAAATTTAAGACCAACCTGACTTATTGTCACTTTCGACTACTGCGTTGTAAAAATGTAAATGGTAAAAAAATGGTAACAATTTTGAACAATTTTTGTAGAACAGGATTTTTATAACTGTCTTCGTCTGCAACTTTTATATAAACGATTTTTGGTATAGCTGTTACGATCTCAATTGGAACCGCAAAAAACATTTAACTCATAAATTCTACGGAATCCATAGACGTCCAGAAAAATTTAGCCCTGTCTCGTCTAGATATACTATATTCCGAGCTATATTACCATATAATTACCATACGATTGTCAAGTTTTTCGTGTTTAAAATCGCATTGTAATGCATGTCGTAAAATATCTAAAGATTTATAATTATAATCAGGATAATCGCTTAATTTATATCGAATCATGTTTAAAGTAGGAACTTTATTTTCTTTGTACATATTATAAATTGTGCGCCGCAGTACATCTGGTAAAATAGTCAATTTTCTTTAATTTTGTATTTTTCCGTTTCCTGTTTGTACCGTGATCAATCTTTCTTTAATTACGCTATAAATTGTCGTTTTTGACATCTTGACAACTTTTTTTATCACTTCGTTCACTATTTTCAATTTTCAAACATTCATATATATTTAAAATAATAAGTTGACTTTGTACATGTAAATCTTTGTTTTTAAACTCTGAGTTTGTTGCTTTCGACAAAAACCTATTCCACTATTTGGGGATTTTCCCGAGTTATTTCGTTATCCTCCAGATAATTACATATAACATTTATTTTAATAACTATTACCCTTTACTGGTTACGATATGGACAAATAATAATATCAACTAATAAATAATAATACGTATTATACCAACATACCCCGCCAGCAATGCTCTGCACTGCACTAACAAAGCGGCAAAGCTAAGTGAACCCGTGTACCATACAAAAAAATTATTTACGACCTAGTTTACCAATACTGGACTCGCCGAATTGCTATTCGAGTATAAATTACGAGACACATCATGGTCAAAGCATAGGAAAAAATTTCAGGAGAAGTGCATACGGTCCTGTGTTTTAAGATTTACAGGTTCCAATTGACATCGTAACAACTATAAATCGACTTTTTTTTACGTATTCTACCAGGTGTTAAAATAAATTACTCAACTTTGAGAACACCCTGTATATTGTGAAGATTGGGATTCTTAAAGACAAGGACTCTTCATATCGCCGCCAGAAGTTGACGTGTTTATACAGGGTGTCCGCTAATTAATCAAAATCACGGATTCCTCGTGATGAAATCTTATATTTGAAAATTGATAATAATCAACATACAGCGTGTCAAAGTTGTATTTATTTCTTCTATTTTTTGCAATAATATCAGAATAAATCCATCTAACCGCACGACATTAGGCATTCGGGTTTTTTTGAGGCGATAAATTAAAATTCATTTACATTTAATATACAGGGTGATTCACAAATGGTAACCAAAAATCTCGTATTCTTTGGTGAATTTTAAGGGGTCATTCCTATAAAGTTTTTATTTTGGACGCTTCGTTAAAAAGATACAGGGTGTTAAACTTCATAAAATATTTTTAATTTTTTTTAAAAACTAGTAAGGGAAATAATCTGAGGGCTTTTCCTAAAATTTACATGCAGCAGTGGTGGAGATACAGGGTATCTGTGGTATATTTTTCTAAATAAAATAGTTCGCCACTGCTTTACGGTAACAACCATGATATTTTCGGATTCGTAAATGTTAAAAAAACCAACTGAAAACACTTTTACTTAAATGACAAGTACTAATATTCGGTTATTTATTCGAATAAAGAAATTAATAACATTAGTCATCATTTTAATGATTTTATTTTAGTAAATACTCAAAAATACCTCCATTTCCACGAACACAGGCCCGACATCTTTTTAGTAAGAAAAATGTAATTTGCTCTTAAAATTATGTTTGCTTGAATCTGATGAAAATAATTTATTCTTTCCTCTAATTGCTCAGAATGTCAAAGTTGCGCTATCACAGCCCACTAAGTATGTAATTTTAAAAAGTGTTTTCAGTTCGTTCGTCGTAACAGTGACAGATAATGTCATGATAACATTGTTATAGCTGTTTTACATTGACAATTTATTCATCAATAAATTGACGAAGTTCTTCATCAATTAATTCACGAATTTATTGGTAAACGGTGTGGTTTTACACTGCTACAGACTTTGTCAAGTTTTTTGACGATGAATCAGTTCTACCAATGAATCAAAGAAGCAAATAAATTTCAAAAATGTCACCTTTCCACTCATAATTGTAGTGGTACAACAGCGGTACCGTACTGACACATATTATATAAATATTAGCTTTTGTAAATAACAAATCAGTAAAAACAATGCAAACCTAGTACGAGGCCACACAATTATTTTCATATTCCAATAACATAACCTCATTACTGATCTGAGGCTGGAAATCTGTTGGGTTGGTACTTCCGAACTTCACGAAGAAATTGACGAAAATTAGAACATGCTCTAATTCGTCAAGAACTTGATGAATAAATTCATGATGTTATTTGACAGCTGATTTGGTGCATTACACTTGTCCAATTTCTTGATGAAGCGACTTCATGAATTAATTGATCAATAAATGGTCAATGTAAAACAGCTTTAATTGATTGTCAGTTTGTATTATTATTGAATTAAAATAAGTTACACATAATTAGAAAATTGAAATATTATTTGGAATTAAAATACAGTGAGGAGAAGAACTTTAGTATATTTTAATTCCTATAATATTTAAATTTTCTATTTCTGTATAACCCATTTTAATTAAATTTAATTAATTTAATTAATTTACAAACTGTCAAATATAAACAATGTTGTCATGACATTACCTGTCACTGTCACGGCTTGCCATATAACATTGTCCATGAGTAATTAGGCCTCTCACGGCCTAATTAGTGAGATTTAGTTAAAATATCTATACCCATTTTGGATCATATCAATGACGGATATGCAAAATATATTACAACTAAAAAAAATCATAAAAAATCGTGCAACTACTGTATTTCAAAATTTTTTTATCTCTAAAAACAAAAAATTTAATGAGGGGCGGTCAAAATATAATGAATCACCCTGTAAATAAATTAAGATTGAAACTCTCCACAAAATTAGAGAAAGAAAACAAAGAGATCTTACTGTTTCTGAAAAATGTATTGAGAACATTGTTTTCTTAAATATGCAGGCTGTCTTATAAAAAATGCCCCAATCTGTAACTAATATTAATAATTAATTGTTCTATTTTAAAAAAAACAAAAGATTGTTGTTAATGACTTGACAAATATTACAGTCGAGCACTGATTTTAATTTTTTTGCCATCATCAGAACGTTAGGCGATTTTCAATTGTTTTTTCTTAAATGTCGTTATTATTTTTTTTTGGCCTGTTCGATAGAGTACTTTTTTCTGCAGTCAACTATATATTACAACCTGATATTTGTTAAATATTTTATGGAAAAATTTTTTTTTTACAAAATTTATTAAAGAAATGCTATGTCTAATTCACGGCAACTACTGATAAAAATGTTAAATTTGCCATGAAAACAATTAAATTTAGAAGCATTAAATGTCACGTACGCGTCATTTCCTAGGCAAAATACGTATCAGTGTATTGACAAGTGGTTATTAATTACAAAGAAATTATTGTAACTTAAAAAATTTGAACACTAATGAAGTGACCGATATGTTACATGTATAGTTTCAATGTAATAAAAATAATGCCCAAGCAGAACGTCTGTATGCAACTCGGTTTCCAAACAGGGATGTTCCACAGCGATGAAAATTTAAAAGACTTGAAGACAATCTCAGAATGTATGGTGCTTTTAAAAGAACTAAAAATTCGCAACGCATTTTTAATGGTCCTGTAGAATTAGACGTTTTGCTTAGTATTGAGGAAAATCCACAAGCTTCTACTTGATAAATTGCAAGTAGTATTAATTCTTCAAAAGACACAGTACACAAAATCTTAAAATAACACCAAACTTAAATCATACATACCACCGAAAGTGCAAGTGTTAGAAGACAACGTTCGTGTCCGAAGGGAGCAATTTTGCCATTTTTATTTAAATATGATACAAGATTTTGGAGAAAAATTATATGGTCTGATGAGTGTACCTTTAGTAATAATGCCATTTTTAACCGAAATATCCAACGATATTGGAGTCAAGAAAATCCCAGAATAACTGTTGAAACCAATTACCAACGGAGATTCAGTGTCAATGTTTGGTGCAGTATTCTAGGTAATCGATTAATTGGTCCATTTTTCATCGATGAAACTCTAACTCAAGATAAATAGACTCTTGTCAGAAAATCTTGCAAACTTTTTGGATATCTTACCGCTTGCAGAAGTGTATAGGATTTATATAGAAGAAACACTAATTGGTTAAATGCTAATTTTGTTGAAAGGTGGATTGACATGACTGGTCCTGTTCGATGGCCCGCCCGTTCTCCTGACCTCACTCCCGCAAATTTTTGGTTTTGGGAATATCTTAAAGATCATGTATTTTTGACACATCCGGAAAATGTAGATATTTTAAGAGAGAGGATCATAAATCTTTGCCGTGAAATACCTCCAAACTTAATATCGAATGAGGTAGCCAGAAGATGTCAATTATGTATTCAACAAGATGGAAAACAGTTCGAACAATTTTTATAAGGTTTTTGTTGTTACATTTTTGTTTTGTTGTTGATCTGGTATCTATTTGTTTTGCTTTATTGTTGTTACTTTAGATATAGCATTTCTGTAATAAATTTTGTAAAAAAATATTTTTTCCATAAAATATTTAACAAATATCAAGTTGTAATAATATATCGTTGACTGCAGAAAAAAATACTCTATCGAACAGGCAAAAGAAATTAAAATCAGTGCTCGATTGCAGTATTTGTCAAGCCATTAACAACAGTCTTTTGTTTTTTTAAATAGAACAATTATTAACAGAGTTACAGATTGGGGCGTTTTTTATAAGACAGTATGTATGTTACTATTTCATGGCTTACATTTAACTGAAATGTAATTATGATTTAAGTATAACATAAACATTTGTTTAGTTATGCAGATGTCATGAAGCAAAGCCGAAAAGACGAGAGCGATGCGATGGAAAACCCGGAGACTTCTCCTTCCATTGGGGGTAACTCAGCTGCACTTCCTTGGCCTAGTAAGGATGGCGGCAAAAGTATTGTCCGCCTTGGACCTGCCTCGGACTGTACATCGGTGTCAGCAGATTCACCTGCAGTTCGCTCAACGCAGGTAAAATATTCAAGAATTAATGAAAATAGAAATAATTTAAAGTCATTTAGTGAATTTTGAATAAGAAGACTCAGTTTTAAATATGGTGCTTCAGTTACTTCATAAATTTCAGAAACTGCCAGATATACTCGGAAGTACCTTCAGCGAGTTTAAGGTCACGAATCAATTGTTCCAATATCTCTGATGGTTTCAAATTAGTCCTCAACTGTTGTAGAAACAGGCCTCATATATGTGTAAAGTTTAATTGAAATACATATATCTGATTTGTGGTTTTAATTCGCTGGAGATGTTTGAAGATTTAAATAAAAAAGCAATTGGAAGACGAACAAAATATTAACCCTATGCAGTTTTATCATATGTCATATCATAGTATATATCACATAATAGTTTTGAAAATGATACCTATAAGATATAAGAGATCATCAAAGTGCTCGAAATGATATGGTAAAACAACAGATTTATATTTTATTATTTATGATTTAAACGTCACTAAATAGATTGTATTCCAATTTTACATGGACATTATTATTAATGGGACAAAACCAGTTTTTTTTTGACATTTTCACAGAGATAGACATCTTCAGAGATACATTTTCCATGCTAACTTCAACATACTATATCTTCAAAACTAAGTAATTTCAGGCGTGTATTCTTATGATTTTTTTTTAATCATCAAGTTTCCTCACTGACTATAGTTACATTGAGGTTATTCTATTACTCTATGGTCTTTTAATTATTTAAAACAATGTAATAGAAATTACTTTTAAATATATTGTAAGGATATACAGGGTGTTTCTTAAGTAGAGGTAAAAAATCCTGGGCCTATTCTGTGGCCAAAAATAAGGGCTTTTTGTTATATAAATGTGGGGTCTCAGGACAGTCATTGTCCAGCTACAGCGTGCAAAAATTAAAAAAAAAAACAGTTTTTAATTTTTAATTTCTAAACCACTTGTGCTAATTTAATCAATTCGGTGTGTATATTTAGTATGACAGTAGGTATGAAACAAAAAATTACCAGCCTTACAAACTTACCACTGGCGGAGGTGTGGGTGTCATCGATAATTATTTGCCAAAAAAAATATATCACCCTGTATAAAATTACTAATAAAATAGGTCAGCATATGCGCCATTGTATTATCTTCATTTTTTGTTTCTTTACACTCCTTTGTATTCCAAACCGAAAAGGAGGCCATGCAAAACAATGATTGATTATCTTATTTAATATGTGTATTGTCAAATTAAGCTTACTTTTTAAAAAGATTAAGTTTTAATAATGGCTTATACAATATGCATATTCAAATGGTTTACATTTATGGCCTTGCAGACGGAAATGGTACTGAGGCTGAGGAAATATTTCCAAATCATCCAACTCCAAATCCAAGAATGATCAGAAATGTTTTTCAACGTATTTCGGAGTCAGGCTCACTTCAGAAGGCTCCAATTCCTGGAAGACCTTTGAGTGTTTAGAACGCCTGAACTGGAAGAAACTATTCTATACGAAATTGAAGAAAACGCACTAGTATTAGGAAGATGGCTGCAGACCTTAATGTCAATCATAAATTAGTTTGGTCCATCAATAGTTATACCCGTATCACATACAGAGGGCCCAAGTCCTATTGCCGCAAGACTATCCAGCTGGTCTACAATTTTGCCATTGGATTTTGCAAAAAATTGAACAAAATGTTCCACAATAAACACTTTTGGTCTGATGAAAGTCCTTATGGAATCTCGATTTCAGTATCAGATTTCTTTGAATGTATGGGTGGATCTTATTGGAAATCTTGTTGGGCCTTACTTCTTATCAAGAACTTTAACCGGTGCCTCCTACAGACATTTTCTTGAAAACGTTTTACCTGAACTACTTGACGATGTTCCCTATACGCTAAGAGAAAGAATGTGGTTTATGCACGGCGGGGCTCCCCCAAATTTTAGTTTAACTGCTCGTGAATTTTTAAATGAAAGATTCGATAATAACGTGATTGGACTACGCACTAAAGAACCAAGTCAACCTTGGCCTCCCAGATCAACCGATATGAACCCTATCGATTTTTTTGTTTGGGCACATCTCACGACATCAGTTTAAAAGGTTCACATTGAGTCTGAGGAGCACTTACGTCAACAAATTATAACTGGTTGCGATGTGATAACTACTCCTGGAATTTTCGCACGTGTTCAAGCTGCAATTTCAAGAAGGCAGCCATTTCCAACATTTGTTATAATAAATCATAGTAAAGTAATTCCATTGTTAATTAATTATTTTATTATTTTAAGTAATAAATATCATTTTAACTAATAAAAATTAAATTGTCTTAATTTTGCTAAATTACCTAACCTTCCCTAAGAGATAGTACTGTTAGGCAATAGCAGAAACAACTTCAATGTATTACAGTGTAACAGTAAAATAAAATAAAATTCTAATTTACTAGACATAACAGTTCCTTTTTATTTAATTACTTGCACTCACGAGTCTTACATGTACTATTAATAGCCCGAGATATTACGTCAAGGTAAAAGACCGTGTGCAACCTGCAGAGAGATGCAAGTAGATAAAAGTGACCTTAGATTAGCCATTACAAAGAACTCTTAAAACAGGAAGTTTCTAGTATGTTTGTTAATCTTCGTTTCCTAAAACTACTGGTTTATTCAGCGATACGACAAATGTTATTGCGTTCGTTTATATTAGATATCGTTCAGTGAATAATTATCAAAACTGAACAGGACCGGCCTTAAAGTAGAATGGAATGGTTTGAATTTATACAACGTGATGATAAAGTTTGGAACAAAATTCATAACTTTTATACTAAGTGATTTTAAAAAATCCGCCGAGACAGGCCAATTTTGTTCTCGGGAGGGACATCTTTTAAGATGATTCAGTTGTGACCCAGAAAAGTTGGACGGACAATAAATTTGTTTTTTCTTATGGAACACCCTGTATATTTTTCCATATTCGGATAAAACTTTCTCTTAGGAATACAGTGATGTAAGATTTGAAGGGTCTATTTTAAATAACAAGCGAGATATTGCGAGAAAATGACATTTATTTCAAAAAATCACACAGGGCAACAATTTTCACACCCAAAAAACAGACCTCACTTGCCCGAAGGTGCGTAGAATCCGAATCTGGCGTCAGAATTGTTCCTGTACGTCACGTTTCCGAGATATCCTAACCTAAAAGTGCAAAAAACACGTTTTTTTTGCTATATGTGAGCTTATATCACAGAGCAAAATTTTTTTTTTCTAAAAAGAATATATCTCTCTAAATCTCTCTAATTTCTCTAAAACTACCATTCTTACCCTTCAAAACGCTTTTTTTATATGTTTTTTGGGTTGCCCAATCCGAATCTGACCTCCAAATTATTTTATCACTTTGGGATTCTGAGATTTCTTAACCTAAAACTGCAAAATCAACGATTTTAGGATGAACTATCGATATTAACCTCTATAACTCTACACGGAGACATTTAATAGAAGCACGTAACCTGCAAACACTACACCCACAACCTAAGGGCACAATAATCGCTACAACAATAACCACAACCAAATCTCAGAATTCTAAAGTGATACAATAATTTTGAGGTCAGATTCGGATTGAGCGATTCAGAAAACATGTAAATATACGCTTTCTGAAGAACTTTTTTCGATTTTAGTACCACTGTTATGAAAACGATAAGTACCTGAGGGGTGCTTTCGCTGTACCGCAAGAATAAAACGTTCTCTCAACGGTAATAATAAAGTATTTTATTGAAAACTAAGTTGTATAGCAAAAGACGTGTTGATGGGGTGAGTGTTCGTTGGAGAGTCACTGTGTGTGGAGTCGGTCGTAGTTATATTGGTAGTCGCTGGCAGAAGTCCCTGGTCCTTGGCGCCACTCTGCCGGGGTCATCTTCCGGGAACCCCGTGGTGCGTCCGGTGGCGTTCTTGACGTAATGCTTAAAAATGGGTCACTTGCGAACATGTGTACCCACATACCTAACTCCATTCAATGATATCTCCGCGAATAAAAAATATTTTTCAAATCTGAAAAAAGAATTTTGAAGGGTAAGGTAGTAGTTTTAGAGGGCATGATTCGTTTTTAGAAAAAAAAAATCTGTGATATAAGCTCAGATATAGCAAAAAAAAACAATTTTTATACATTTAGGTTAGGATATCTCGAAAACGTGACGAATAGGAGTAATACTGACGAATTTAGATTCTGCGCACCAAAAACCTTTGGGCAGGTAACGTTTGGTTTTTGGGTGTGACCTTTCGTCAAATTTTGTTACTCTGTGATTATTTAATGTCATTTTTCATAAAAGAAATTGCACTTGGAAACGAAACAAATGCAAATAATTGACGAAATTTAACATACATTTTCAAATTGTCCTCCACCAGCACTTTGGCACTGGTCCGCGCGAGTGTAAACACTTTGCACTGATTCTTTCCATTTCAGCACGAATTCTCAGTTGTAAGTCTGCTCAATTGTTTGGTCGATTGAAGTATAGCCTAGATTTTAATAACCCCATAGAAAAAAATCCAGAGGAGTTAAGTCGGGGGAACGCGGGGGTCACTCAAGAGATCCTCTCCGCCCTAACCATCTTTCAGGAAATGTATCATCAAGATTTGTCGAACCTCTAAGCCAAAGTGAGGTGGAGCTCCATCTTGTTGAAACCAAATATTTTCATGGGGTATATCGCCGTCTGCAGCGTTGGGGGAACTGCTTCAACCGGCATCAACTCAAAACGCAGAAAACCTAAATATCTAGCAGCAGTGAGGCTTTCTTCAAAAAAGAAAATTAACTTCTTATAATTCCCACCCATACCTTTAATTTGCCTTTACGCTGACTGTGGATTTTTTGCGCCCCATGGGGATTGTCATCTGACCAATATCTACAATTATGGCGGTGTACTGAGGCATTTAAACAGAATGTGGCCTCGTCAGAAAAAAATATGTTGCTTAGAAAATTTGGATTTTCATCACACCGTAACATTAATTGTTCACAAAAGTGCAATCGGCGGTCTGGGTCATCCTCATTTAATTCGTGTATCAGCTGGACTTTATATCCATGATACTTTTCTGTAGGAAGCAACTTTACAACATATGATTGGTCGGATTGGTCCACATTGTTGTGTAGGGCTAGTTATCTTGTTGACTGATGGGGATTTTCTTCAATTTCCAGCAATAAATTTAACTTGATTTCTTCAGCGATTTGTTGTGTCCTATCTCTTACACACCCAGTCTCTGTAAACTGGCGAAGAATTTATTCATTGTAGATCATGCAATTGGTAGTCTGTCGGCATGTGTTTGATTAAACAGCTAACTTGCTTCCGCATGGGTTCGTAACTTATCACCATATCCAACCATCATTAAGATCTCTATCCTTTCACGTTCAGTTAAATAAGCCATTCCTTCTAAGCTCCAAAAAATTGAGTGATAAATTTACTAAGTTTACTAAGGTTATAATAACGTACTAATTTGTGAAAATGTCACGCTACAACAGTGATGTTTTTGTTTCTTAAGCAACGACCATAAACCGAAATTTAATAATTTTTATCAGTACCGTAATTTTTATTGCTAAACTTGCAAACTTTTTTCGTTTTTTTTGCCGTTAATTATTTGCATTTGTTTCGTTTCCAAGTACAATTTCTTTTATGAAAAATGACATTAAATAATTTTTTGAAATAAATGTCATTTTCTCGGAATATCTCGCTTGTTATTTGAGATAGATCCATCAAACCTTACATCACTGTATTCGTAAGAGAGAGCTTTATCCAAATATGAAATAATATACAGGGTGTTCCACATGAAAAAACAAATTTTGAATTAATCTTAAAATATGCCCTTCCCGAAAACAAAATCGACCTGTCTCTGCGTTTTTTTTTGTTCTGAACTGTATCATCACGCTGCATATCTAAAGAAGCAGATACCTACTACCGTCGATTGGATATTGGATTTTGTCCCCATCTGGTTGCTGTCTAAACAATGAAGTTCCATTTAAGAGAATATTGCTCCTTGACTATACTATGGCACATGCAAAAATTTATCATTCAGTACATTACTAGGCATATGGCCGACGTATCAATCAAAAACTTATGAATGACATTAACATCTGACGCTAAATCCTTTCATTCATTTTGGACATGAAAAATCGTCAATAAGATTGACAAAAAAATTACATTCATTTGATACACCCTTGTACATTGTCTATGTTTTTGTAGAGATTGAGAAGTAACCCCATCGTGAACCAGCAACTTAGCCCTTCTTCACAGCTCCAGCCACACGTCCAACAGCTCCAACCCCTTCAGATTTCCCTTCCTCAACCGCAACAGATTTCTCCGCAGTTTTTGGAACCTCCTCAGTATCTTCAGGCGATTCCAGTTCAACAGATGATAGCGAATTTCCCTTCGCCCACAGTTTTGTCACCTTTACAGGTAGGTAAGGAAGCACTATTAGTAAAAATGAATCAAATTTATTTCAAGAAATGAAAAAACATGGCTCTCTAACAAGTCTAGCAATGAACAGTAACATTTTCCGATAGACCTTTAAACACTTCACTAATTTACTACCTTAAGGTAGTGTTACTCTTGATTATCAACTAGAATGTTGCATATCAAACAAACAAAGTTCTCAGAATAGTCGTTTTCTTCCTACCATAATTTCCTTGGATTGATTAGATGAAACATTAAACATTGCAAATATTTTCTGATATTACAATTGTGAGACCATAAATCAATAGAAATCGGATAATACGGTAGACGCTGTCATTTTATACAAGTTTTATTATTCGTTATTCCTGTTTAATCGTTCCTTGTTTTCTTTTCAGCCAGTTGACAATATAGTATTATCTCCTGCCCAGAACCAACTCCAGGTTGACCTACAGAGGAAGCACGCGGAATTGCAAGCCATCATCGGGCAACAACAGCAAGAACTGAGGAGAGTCTCAGAACAACTTCTTATGGCCAGATTAGGTCTGTTACCAGGATCTCAACCGCAACCAGTAGTAGCTAATGTAAGTAAATAAATCGTCAGAGCATTTGCTGATCTCGTATATTGCAATATTTTGTGGGTAAAATATTTACATATTCGGAGCAAAATTAGAGATAATATAATGTGAACCACGGTTCATACACGATGTCGATTTACTGCACTATTAGGCAATATTGTGAGGGTAAATTCGTCTACTCTACAACGTAAAACACTACTTGCAAAATTTCAGTCCAGTAGTAGCCGCTACAGTCTGAATGTATTATTATATATTTTTGTGTACCCTTAATGTCACTCCTGTAAAACCATTGCCACATATTTGAGTCAATTGATGCAAGTCATGAAGCGCGAGATAGAATCCAATCATTTAAAGGTATGAGCTCTGTATGTACCTCTAGACAATAACTAACTGAATAATGAACTTGACCCATATTTATAAGTTTAGCAGAACAATGAAATTGCAAGGGTAGCAAAGTCAGCGTTTTACTGGGATTGATAACTCGCGCATCAGATATGTGTCCTTGAAGATTTATTATCTAATTGTGCAATTTTGGTTTAATATTGAATACCAACCAGTAAGGTACCTTGAACTTTTTATGTTCACGAACTAGGTCTGTTTGTTTCCATTAATTTTTATACCTAAATCTCTTTCAATCGCATAAATTTTGCTATTGTCTATGAATTATTATTAACACATAATAATAATAATAATAATAATAATAATAATAATAACAATAATAATAATGATAATGATAATCACAATAACAGTGACAGTGGCAGTGGCAGTGACAGTGACAGTGACAATGACAGTGATAATGATAATGATATTCTCAGAATCAATAGTCACTAACCTCATGGAATGGTGCGTGGCTATTGTTAACTTCCAGCTCAACTCTGGCACTTGAGTTGTGACTGGTTTAAGGGAAGAAAATAGTAATAATGATTCGTTTACAGACCAATTGTAAAAGTATCTAGTGATAATCACATAACAGATAAAAATGCATTATATGTAGATCCAAATAATAAAAACAATAGACAGAGAATTCAATAAACATTAAGTTTTACAAATTTTATAACATTAAATAATATGTAGGTATACAGGGTTGGGCAAATGTGTCGAAACACCTGTGTATAGGGTCAACCATAAGGTTGATTAAAAAATAACTGTAACAAAAATTTTTGTACTATTTTTATTCTCGTCAATGATGCACTTTAATTTCCAACATCTACTTTATTTTTAGAAATAGGGCGTTGTCGGTAGTTTTTTTTAATGGACCGCCCTGTACAGTGATATAGGGTTTGATGGGTCTGCAATTTATTGTTTTTTAAGTGTTAAAATTCAGCTCTCTCATATATTGAGTTCATACAGGCAGATGCGAGATGCTTGAAAGAATTCGCATTCGAGTCGAGGTACCTAGCAGCGCCAGGCCAAGTGTCTCGTTATGTTTTACAGCAGTTTAAGTCGTGATAATAGTTTATGTACGAGTATTATTGGATGCGATTTTTACTCGAAATAGTAGGAACAACATTTATTTTGTTTAATATTATATTTTGAGAATTTCTATTTTTCGATTTCTTTTATTTATCAGTGGAATCAGGAGAGCCGAGTCGAGCGTCTCGTGTTGTTTCCACGACCGGTGGTAGCATCTGGCATTTTAGTTGCGCTTTCTCTCGAAATAGTAGAAACAGCATTTGTTTTGTTTAATATTATATGTATTTTAAGAATTTCTGCTTTTCTTTTTTTTTTATTTGTCAGTGGAATCAGGAGAGCCGAGTCGAGAAGCGTCTCGTGTTGTTTCCACGACTGGTGGTAGCATCGTGCGGTTTTAGTTTATTTATTCAACTGATTAGAGAAAAATATTTGTTTTGATTAGACAATTTTTTTTGGAAAGCCCTTTTATTTTTTATGCATTATTTGTCAGTAGTGGCAAATTTCCTTTTAAGTCTATATTTACCAATTTGTTGGATTGTGATATTTATATCATAATTTGTGTCAGACTTTGAAATATTAAATTTAAAAACGTCTTTTTTACATTTTATTTATATATAGGCACTTCTAGTAAGTGTAATTATTCCCTTAATTTATAAGTTTTAGGTTCGCACAATTTATTTACATATATATAAAAAATGAAGAGCAAGAAAACAGACATTGCGGTCCTAGCGCAATATTTTAACAAAAACTTCGCTCACATTTCCTATCAAGAATTTCAACAACTGAAAATATCAAACAACATAATATTTGAAGCTGCTAAATATCTGTTTAATAGTGACGAGAAAAAAAATAGGAACTTAATATGCCAGATTTTCAAAACAAATACAGGACATATTAAAGACTTGCTTATTTCTAAAGACGACGATAGAAATGTGATACCGATGAGACCTAGCAAAATTATAAAAATTTTAATTACTGTCAAAAGGGTTATAAAAGAATTAAAAGTTTCTAGATCGGACATATTTGAATCGTACTACCATCCTTCCTCAATATACTTGCGTTTATGTATTAAATTAGGTATGAAGAACTCAGAAAAGAACAGGAAACAATTAAATACTTTTTTTTAATAGAAAAGTAGCATCGTTGTTCGATTCAGAAAATGAAAGTCGTATTTCTCCTAAACAAGTGAGACTAAGATCTTCAACTCCTTTAAACAATTCGGATGATTCAGGAAAACACCCATTTGACGTGGCCCTCTCCGACATTATGGTGACGGATAGGGAAGTTTCTTTAGTATCACATGTTGCGAGTAATAAATCAAATGAATTTGAAATATTTGACATAGACAGAGAGGTGGGACCTACTATGCCACAAACTGCATTATCCATTAAACCTGAGAACCATAGGGCGAAAAAAAACATGTCTCCTGAATTTTCGGATTCTTCGGATTTTGAAGAAACTAAAACTGTGTATTTGGAAAAATCTAAAGTTCAAAAAGTATCTTACCAATTGGTGCAGAAAATCTGAGTTGCGAGAAAACAAAAATGAGAAGCTACAAAAATTGTAACTTTAAAGATGGTCATTTTAAGCTAACGTCAAGAGTTCCATTTGATTTGTGACGAAAAAAAATAATAAAAGGAAAATACGCGTTTGTTTTAAAGAAGAAAATAAAAAAATTCGTGAACAACGTGTGCATAATTTATTTTAAAGACTGGAGATATCTAAAAACTAACGACGCGATTAAGTTATACGCTTCTATGCTACTGTGGGCATAATAAATGTAAATACTTCATTATAACAATCGAGAGGATTTCTGTTTCCGGAGTCGAACATTGTGTTAGCGTTGTAAGTTCTTTTAGGGATTTTTATCATGTCAAAACCTTATCATCACAAGTAAGAGGACTGGAACGCAGTATATTAAAAGATACAATGGCATACATAAACCTTTTAAGCAAAGGCAGAATGACGTTTTAACAGCTAATTCCAACTTAATAAAACAGGGAACATTAGACAGTATTAGATCAGATAGTGTTTACAAAAAAATCAGGTCCGAAAAATTATCAGAAAAAGATGAAAGTAAAGATGATTTTATGGACATCCTGATAATGTATAACAAAAATAAAGACTTCATTCAGCACGTCGGGCTCCCGTTCCACATATACGTGTATAGTAAGGAACAGGTCGATTTATTAAAGATGAGAAAAACTGACCAGCAAATCTTATATTTAGATGCAACTGGTACCATAGTTCGCAAGCCACAAAATGAAACAAAACAATCCTTTTATTATGCGGGGGTCATACAGCTTGATAAAAATAAGAGGGTATGCCCGCTTGTTGGAATGTACTCCTGCAGACACGATGTTGTTTCAATTTGTGCTTGGCTATTGCACTTCCGAAGTTACTGTCTCATAAATTTAAAGAAATGGCCTGTATTTTCAAAAATAGTAACAGACTTCAGTCACGCATTCATTAATGCCGTCAGTATTGCCTTCAATAATATGGAGTTACTAAATTACTTAAATATATGTTTTAATTTCCTGCAATGTGGTGCCCAACGTCCAAAGAACTTAATTACACTACATATTTGCTGTTGTCATATTTTCAAACTAATGGCCACTGATATCGATTCTCATTATAAAGACTATAGCGTTTCGAAACAAATGAAGGAAATTGTAGCGACCGTGTTTTGCCTCAATCACTGGAATGATATATGCCAGTGGTTTAAATTATTTTCTGTAGTGCTACAGAGTAAGAAAAATTCGGTGACTCTTAAAAGAGCTCTGAATGATTTACTTCGATTATGTTGTGAAAAAAATGATGTAGAGGAAAAAGTGGCATTTTCTTATGTACCATTATTTAAAGCTAGTCCTTTTTATACCTTTTTTAAGTCCATCGTAGTTGACGTATCAGTGCATGAAACGGAGAGACGTGAGACAAATGAGTTTCACAACATCGACTTTTTACACTTATTTTTAAAGAAATATATAGCGTATTTACCTCTTTGGAGCGGACTTTTTAGGAATGGTAGAATGAGCAACGCACCTGTAGAAAGGTGGTTTGGCATAGCCAAAAATTCAATCGCTGAAGGAATTCTTCAACAAAAATGTGGTAGAATAGTGAGAAAAATGCGTGATCATGTTTTATTTCTACGCAAGGAAAACGAGATTTCTATTCCTAACAAAAATTGTACCAGGAAGTTGATCTCACTAATTTCGAAAGATCTACTCTTAAAAAAATCTTACATTCGAAAAATAAAGAATTAACTCAATTAAACGAGAGAAACGATATTTTCAACATTTTCGACCCAAATACCTGTCTATATTGCAACAACCGCTAATTGGATCCAGTGTGACAGATGTGATGGCTGGGTCCACCTAATGTGCGTTGACGGATTTGAAAATTTAAATTTATCCGCAGAATTTTTCTGCAAATTATGTGATGAACAAGGAAAGATGGACCAGCCTCAGCAAAATATCGCAAAAGATGACGAGGAATATCAACCTCTAGTTAATGTGGATAAAACGTATACCAACGAATTAAGCAACATAAAGCGGAAACATTCTATAATTCTAAATATAATGGCAAACGGTCTC